TTCTTCTTTCAGCTTGTCATCCCACCACTTAACCGATACCCCACATCGTACCACCTTCTTTCCCACTACTCTCTCTGCCGTTGCGTTCACGATGGACTCCCACCCTTCAATCACCCTGTCCCCTGCTGCTTGTACGTCTACCTGTCCGTCTTCGACGCTTCTCAGTAGTTTCCTGAAGGGTTCTACACTACCAGCCAGTCCCTTCTGGAATTCATCCCGTGTCCCCTCGTCTCCCAAACGCTCCACTTTACACCGGAACACTTCCTCTGTTTCGTACTCTTCATCTTTCTAGATCGGTCGATGTTTGCCCATATGAGGAAGTGGTCGGTCGAACCTATATCTATCGCACTTACGTGCAGCTCTGGGATCTGCGTGCTCCCCCTATCTACCAGGATGNCCTCGCATCCCTGCAATCCCTGGGCGGAGCAATATGCCGGTTTTTTCGCCGGCCCAGGCAGATTTTTACATAGATGAACTAGAACGGGGGGCAAACATAAGTGACGATAGACTGGACGATGGAGAGATCGTAGGTTGGACCGCCGGGTCGAAAACTCGGACGGACTTCTAGGCAAAATACGGACGCCGTTTCCTCTGGCACCGACCGTGAAACCTTCCATGTGACATGCCGTCATGGTACTTTGGAATGTTCGTGTGAAAAAGAACAGACGCGCATGTGTCGTCATGGAATACTGAGAGCTCACGCCCGACGCGATAATTGACGTGGCGACGCTCCCGCCCCATCTTCACACACACATTAAGCCGAAACGGGCTCTCTGTGTCCAGCCTCAGCCAAACAAGACACTCACCCTTTTCTCTTTCAGCCAGACAGAGTGCGGCCCCCTCTCTGCGGAGTAGAGGCCGGCTAATCTCACCACGCAGCCGCCGCCATCCAAGGTCACCAACTCGGCGACTGCCGGCGAAGGAGGGGGACACCCGACACCAACACACAGCAAAACGAGAGCAGGCGTTACGATACACCGACGAGGAGGGCGTGAACGCGGTGGAACATGGGGACGAGCGATATAGCAACATGTTTCGGCGACGGTAGACCCGAGAACCGTTCGTTGAGAGCGAGGAAAACAAGTAGCGTGAGAGGCGGAGATATGGCGCCCCCTCCCCCCTGGGCCGATGTTCAAAGTTAGATCGCTCCGCAACCAGGCTTGTTGTTGTTGTTGTTGTTGTTGTTGTTGTCTTTACAGTAAAACCCATTCCGTTCTCTCAATCCAATACCTTTTTCTGTCCGTGCTAGTCTTGACGCGGTCGATTCTCCCCGTGATCACAGGCTACCTTGACCAATTAAGTTACACGAAAGTTTAATGGACCCGAAGGGTCCGCAACTCAATATAAATCAACGACAGATTAAGGCTTGTGCCAACATCAAAAATGGTGGTTTTAGAAGCGTCTCGTCGAGTGCTTTGAGAAGGCGCATCGGGCTCTTTCCGCACCTCTTGGTTGTGGAGGAATGTACAGTGGGGGGCCCTCTATGGTACGGGTGCCCGCAATAGTGCGGGTCAAACTGCTTGGCACAGATGGAATATTCAAAATACGGTTCAAACATTGAATAGTGCAGGTGCCCGCTATAGTGCTGGTGAAGTCGCTTGACACATACCCGCACTTTAGAGGGCCCCCCACTGTATCTTTGAAATTCGATCTAGGGGGGTGTGCCATCTCTCGCATCCTTCCGGTAGCGGTCGAGAGATCATGTAGGAAAATACGCGTGCATACAGGAAAGCAAGAGCAAATAATAGCATGCACTCCAACGCTCCAACAACGTAGCTAACGTCAACCGGCGTGGAGGGGGGGAAGGAGGTACTTCTCGAACCAAGTGAAATATGAAGATGCTATTGGTATTTCTGAACCTCGCTCAAACTTTACCGCACCACTGATTCTGTTTCGACTTGTCTAACAGGTATGCATACTGTAGGTGTCGGTGTCGCTGATTCTTCGTGCACCCTGTATGCATCTGACGCTTACCGCGTGAGAGGGCAGCATCGACAAGGCAGCAGACAACAGGCCAACATGGGCTACTAGGTACATTTCCGCCCCCTTCCGACGCAAAAAGTATGTTGCACACACCACACACACAGGAACGCGTACAATGCATACAAACACTAAACGTACAGCGTACAAATTGTCCACCTCGCTGCTGGAAGCCTGAAGTTCCCTCCCCGCTCCGAAAGCAAGAAAGCAACAACGCCACAAAGACAGAAAATGCCGCTGCTCTTGTTGTTATTCACTCAGTCGCATAAAAAAACGTTCCGGTCTCCACTGAAGTGCTTTTGCAACACCAGTCAACACAGCCACTTCAAAACATACGAGAGACGTGAACTCACTTCTGAGCGGCGAGCTAACTTTGGCTTCGTCGATAGGCGAGTCTTCGGTGACCACTCCTCCGTCCTTCTCCGCGTACACGCTGCCCGACGACGTGAAAACGAACATCCCCGTTCCGTCCCACACGTCCTCCATCGCCGTGAAAACTTCTCGCGCGTAGTCCTTGTTGCCTGGTGGTACCGGCGCAGGTCTTGGGGTAAATCAAATAGGTCTTGAGTGTAAAAATTGATCGCACGCGGGTGGCATCAGATGTGGAAATGTACGCGGCTCGTCATACCAACAACTACGACAACGATGACAATTCGTTTCCTCGGAGTAAGGGTCAGCAGAGGCCTACCAACGAGATCAAGAGAGGGGGGGGGGGGGGGGGGG